TTTGATTAATTAATTTAAATTTATTCAACTTCAACTTCGTGTAGTTAACAAAATTAAAGTTAAACGTATGTAAACAGTAAAAAAACGTGTGTTCAATGTATCCTTCACTTCATATGCAATTACTCATCTTAATTATACCAAAAGTGACTCCGAAGAATCCCAAGCAACAATGATAACGTTGCACACGTCAAATCCCGACGCAACTATTGGAACACATCAATAGTATTATCACATCTGCACGAATGACATGATCAGTCATAATGGGGGGACTTGGTCCGACTTTCTTTTCCAATGCGCAATAATGACAACTTTGAACACACTGTCTCTTCCCATCCCCGTGAATAGATGTCGTGAATTGATGCCGTCGCTTCAAAACTTCAGATGGCTATTTTTTTTTACTTTTTGTTTTTCTAATTTACATAACTGTTCTTCGTACATTTTCATAACCCTAACCGTGTCTTTTGGATTTCTCTTCTGCTACCCCAACCCAAAAACCTAAACCTAATTTCACTCTCTTCTCCCCTAACCGTGTCTTTTGGATTTCTCTTCTGCTATTTGCGCAACCCCAACCCAAAAATCCTCATCTCACTCTCTTCTCCTGTGCTGCAACGATGGTGTTGTTCCATGTTCGAACATGCCCAACGAACGTTCGTAGGTATGATTCTCAGTTCGTTTCTTTATTTGGCTAAATTTTTTTTTCTTTTTGTTTTCGTAATTTACATAACTGTTCTTCGTACATATTCAAAACCTTAACCCAGTTTCATTTGCTTTTCTCTTCTGCTATATGCGCAACCCCAACCCTAAAATCCTAATCTGTCTCTCTTCTCCTGTGCTGCATCCATGCTGTTGTTCCATGTTCGAACATGGCGAACGAACGTTCCTAGGTATTATCATTCTCGCTTCGTTTGTTTATTTGGCTTTTTTTTTCTTTTTCTTTTCTTAATTTACATAACTGTTGTTCTTACATATTGAAATCCCTAACTCCGTGTGTTTTGTTTTGCTCTTCTGCTATATGCGCAACCCCAACCCTAAAATGGTAATCTGACTCTCTTCTCCTGTGCTGCAACCATGCTGCTGTTCCATGTTCGAACATGGCCAACGAACGATTTTGACTTCGTTTCTTTATTTGGCATAACTGGTAAACCCTTTACCTATAACTTTTCGATTTTGTACTCTCAGAGTCCCACTAAAACAAGCGTATGAAGACGCAAACTTCCAGCTCGCACTTCGCAGTGATTTGGTAAAAATTTCCTTATTCTTTATTACTAGACGACGAAACACTTCCACTAATTTAGGGTTTTCATGTCTTTTTTTTCAGGAAACATTGAAAATTCCAAATTTCTTTTTTAAGAAATGGGGAAATAAATTGCCTAGCCACGTCACTGCCGAAGACCAAGTCGGCAATACGTATCAAATTAAGGTTAACGTCTGCCTTAAGGGAAACAAGGAAGTTGCTTTATTTGCTGAGGGGATAAAATCAATCGTCGAAAGTTACGCCCTAGACAAAGCCAGGTTGATTTTTTTCCAGTATTTGGGTGATAGCAACTTTGTCTTCACTATTTGCGCCTGTTTTACTCCAATTACATCCCCAAATTTGCCCCCTCGTCGCTCAACAATGTTGGCTGGTGGTCAACAAATGGAACACAATGACAGGCAGTTGTTATGGTCATCTATTATTACGGCTGCAAGGAGGTCCCCTGGGAAACCACTGGTAATATTGGTTGATCTTTAACTTAATTTTTTTCCTTTTTTTTAATTTTGTCCCGAATTATTTTTTGTATCTCGTATAGGTTTGACATATTTGTTTTCGATTATTTTTGTAGGCAATACCGGCTGACGCGGTATTCAAATATCTCAGAGATCGTCCACATTCGGTGAATGTAATTCTCCCAAAACGGGACTCAAGTTAGATGGCATATACTGTGGTATCCATACCAAGGCCTCTTTTCAAAAGGATGGTATGACTTCCAGCGTCTTTGCAAATTTAATGTGAATGATAAGGTTCACTTTTGGACCAAGGAAGGGGGAGAGGTTTTGGAGGTTTCTGTGACTCGGGCTTGATCTGCGTCCCTTCCATTTGTGTAATTTATTGAACTTGTTAATGTTCTTGTTTGTATTTTTTTTTGGAACAATCACTGGTTTGTTAATATATGCATGTTATATATATAATTTGGTTTTTTTTTCCTATCCGTTCAACTGTTATCTGTATGCATATGATTTTATGTTTACTGGATTACCATGTAATCCATACCTAGGTAGTATGTTGTAGAATGTGATATTGGCTTGCAGGCTCAATCAATGTTCTTGTTTGTATTTTTTTTTGGAACAATCACTGGTTTGTTAATATATGCATGTTATATATATAATTTGGTTTTTTTTGCCTATCCGTTCAACTGTTATCTGTATGCATATGATTTTATGTTTACTGGATTACCATGTAATCCATACCTAGGTAGTATGTTGTAGAATGTGATATTGGCTTGCAGGCTCAATCAATGTTCTTGTTTGTATTTTTTTTTTTGGAACAATCACAGGTTTGTTAATATATGCATGCTATATATATAATTTGGTTTTTTTTGTCTATCCGATCAACTATATCATGCCATTATGTTATCTGTATGCATATGATTTTATGTTTACTGGATTACCATGTAATCCATACCTAGGTAGTATGTTGTAGAATGTGATATTGGCTTGCAGGCTCAATCAACGCAATGCATGCGATTCAAGTATGTGTCATTATCTTTTCTGTATGTATGTTTTTATGATTTGTGGATTACCATGTACTCCATAGGTAGGACGAATGTCGTACAATTTCATAATGGACTATATGTTATATTATCTGAATTGAATAATTTTTATATTAATTTTATACTTTAGGGTTTAACACAATAGACCAAATAAATATTTCATGTACAAAATTCGTCTTCATATTTTATATTTTTACCTATTCATTTTACGCCTTATGTTTACCTAAATCGTATTTACTATCAATGTTTTTGTTAAATATTTTTTAACTTCGTAAGCTATTGAAACCCTAACTTTTTAAGAAAACATGGCTCATTATTAACAATTAATTTAATTTTTTTTATTATACTGTCAAATGTTTTTTTTTTTTTACAGATAATATCATAAAATTCTTTTTCCCAATGAAATTTAAAAATAAAAATGAATGATATGAACAATTTTTTTGTTGATTTATTTGTATTACTTCTGCCATTTTTATTTTGACCAATTAGTACAAACATAAATTAATTTCTGAAATACCTTATTTATTATCTTTATATATATATATATTTATATATATATATATATATATATTTTATATTATTTATTTAAAAATATTATTTTTTTGACTGAAATTTGTAATTATAAAAATATCCCACAAACATACCATTTTGACTTGTTTGACAAACAATTGCAATTCAAACATAAGTTAACTTCATAATTGAAAGCATCATCTTGGGTTTAGGGAAGATGATCCAGTCAGGGGTGGGGGAAGGTTCAAATGGTCAAACTCTAACCTTTTACGTTAACATGTCTAATTATTAAAAAATAATTTTTTTTATTATACTATGTGATAACATATTTATATTTTTACACTGAATATCATAAAATACTTTTTTCCATTCAAATTTATAATTAAAATTTAATGATAGTAACAATTTTTTTTTAATTTCTATTACTTCTGGCATTTATATTTTGAAGAATTGCTACAAACAAAAATTTACTTTCCAAAGTACCTTATTTATTATCTTCATTTATATTTTATATTACTTATTTTAAAATACAAATTTTTTCACTAAAATTTGTTATTATCAAATTTTCCCAGAAACATACAATTTTTATTCGTATTTCCTTTGTCATTTATTTTTTAACCTATACTAAATTTACATTAATTTAGTTTCACGGTTACGTTATTTATTATCATGTTATATATATATTTTTTGTCTAACAAAATTTTAAACCATATATATTTTCTATACATTCTTATCACACAAATATAGTTAAAACATTTAAATTTATGATTTTAATGTAATTTAATAACTTGACATTCCAATAACATTTTCAGTCTTAATAAAATTTTCTACATTCCAATAACATTTTCAGTCTTAATAAAATTTTCTAATGTTACAAAAATCTTTATCTCCAAAATTATGCATCTACTATAAAAGTATAAGAATTATGTTAACAAATATTTTTTTTTATTCTATCCACTTGTAACTTACTTTAAATTTAGCCCTAGTCATCATCTTATTCGCTTCAACATTTTAACTATAAAATTACAAAAATAAATTTTATACATTAAATATGTCATTTACTTCTATTTTTAGTTAACAAAGTAATTTTGCTAATAATATTAACAATTAATCAGTGTTTGTAATTCATAGAACTGTTCACATTCACATGAATGTTTCCAATAAAATATTTCATAATATTTACTAAAATAATGTTAATTTCATACAACTAAACAATCTTTCACACACATAATTTCAATACAACATATTTTCAAATCTAACTGGGGACCTTCACCCATATGACTAGGACCACAATCCCTATGCATCACACGTAAAACCAAATCATGCCTACCACCTACATGACTAGAACTGAAAGGAAGACCAGTTGCCGTTACTCGAACTTCATTAAAACCATCCATAGAAGTTGTACCAATATTCCCACTTGCCTTTTCCTTCAATCACAAATGTCATTCAAATTATTTTTTTTTGTATTCATTATATTTTTCCCCAACACAAACAAATAAAACTTACTTTAAAAAAAATAACCCTAACATAGTACTTACTTTTTTTTTACTTTTCATCCATTGCACACTTTACCAGCCACTTCCCAACGCCAATTCCCTGTCTCATCACATTTCAAAAATAAACAAAATAAATAAAATCATAAATAACAATACTTTTCATACCAAAATATAATTTTTTCTAATTATTAATTATAACAGACACAACCATCGGGACAATATACTTTACCATATCCATTTTTCAGGATCTTTGTTGCTCACCCTTATCACCTCCACCAACTCTAATTTGTCTTCTACGTATCTGTAAATCATTTAATTAAAATAAAGTCAAAATCTCTACTTCAAAAAATATCAACTAAAACTTAAACCAAACCCATAGACACATCATGTTTCTTATTACATAATTTTGGGAACTTTGTTCTGCATCTGTACTATCATTCATGTCAAACTCATTACGACGAATGTCTTCTTGCACCTGCAATTAACATGTATTAAAAATAATTATATAAAAAAATTATTCAACTACAAATAATTTACGCAAATATTGAATTATAAAAATTACATTGTCTTGCACCCCATCATCCCCTGAATCAAACCATTCGTCAATACTAATCAAATTATCTTCTATACAATCAAGCAAAGGACATTTAGATTTTATATGCCCACATTTATGGCAATTTGAGCATTTCCTTTTCTTGGTCAACTTCTTTTTCTGTGAGGCTCCTTTAGTCTTCACAACATTAGGATCACATGTTTCATTATCCAATCCAATAACACTCTTCTTTTCTATTTTTCCAAGTAACTTCAAAATCTCTTCCCTGATGAAATTGAAAGTTTCATGTTTTTTGGCTGCCATTTCACAAAGTCTATTACAAGATGAAGCCAAAACACTAAGACGTGCCACATTACTCATCTCACTATCATTATTCCCTGCATCATATGACGAAATAATTGAACTCTTCGCATCCTTCATCCAACGCTTGCATATTAATGTTGTAGGAAACAAGGTGATATGATCTAGCCGCATTGAGCATATAATATGCCCACAAGGAATTCCACAAGATTCAAATAACATACAATCACAAAAAAATTTACATTCTTCAGTATCAAACACAACTTCATGTATACGATGTTGTTCAGAGTATTTCTCCACCTTAAATACTACCTTGTTACCATTTTCAGTCCTCTCAACTACATTCATTGCCTCAGCATCAAGTATCTCAGCTTTTACCAACTTGAAAACATGTTGTGTGTATAACTTTGCAGCCTGTTTCTCAATTTTTGGAAGTGAAGTTGTCAAAATAGGTTCGGTATAAAATGAATTAAAGTCAGCAATCAATTC